GGGCGGACAGGGAGGGTGGCTCATGCTGTGGTGGAGTGAGGAGCTCAGATGCCCCAAAGAGCAGACAGTAGCTGTAGCCAGTGCCAGGGCTTTTGGGGCAAGGTCCAGTGATTTCCGCAAGGCAAGAAAGTCTCCTGCAATAGGAGGAACACACCCATTTTCCTTTCAGCCCCAGCACATTCCCAGGGTGGGCGGCTTGTCATGATTAAGGCTGCGTGTCTGTCAAGGCGGTCACGGGATTCCATGTCTTTCCGTGGCTTCTGTAACTTCTGCAGTGGCCGGTGCGGCTGGCTCTGGGGCTGCCCGAGCAGCTCAGGTGCGGGGTAGTGCTTACCTTGGGGGAGCGGCTCCCCCAAAGCGGCCAGCCTGTCCCTGCAGCTCCTAGGCGGAGGGACCAGGAGGCTCTGCATGCTGGCGCCGCCCCCCCGCAGCTTCCATTGGCCGCGGTCCTGGCCAATGGGAGCTGCAGAGCCGGACGTGTGGCGGGGGCAGCGCATGGAGCCCCCTCTGGCCTTCCCTCCCGCTAGGAGCTGCAGAGGCACATGGAGCCAGGTAGGAAGCCTGCCAGGCCCGCCAACCCTCCCCCCCAGCACCAGCAGGAGTCCCAGGCCACCTGCTGCCGCCCTCCCCCCCACCCAGCACCAGCCGCCCGCTTCCCTCGCCCCCAGCACCTGTGGCGCCCCCTGACCGCCCCCTCAGAGCACCCGCAGCCCCCTGGCCCAAGTTTTAGTTAGGGGTAGATAGTACAAGTCATGGACAGGTCACGGGCCGTGAATTTTTGTTTACTGCCCGTGACCTGTCCATGACTTTTACTAAAAAGACCCATGACTAAAACGTAGCCTTAGGCATGATAAATATTACAGACAACACACATTGTGCTCATACCTAACAGCCTCATCCAAGGCTTGACCGAGGCACTTGTATTATCTCCATTTTACAGATGGAGAAACTGAGGCAGAGACAGTGGCTCACTCATGGTCACATCCCGAGCCGGTGGCCGAGCTGGGAAAGAAGCAGGTGTCCTCATCCCCACTCCACTGTTTAAGCTGTAGAGCTGCACCGTATGTGTGGGCATACGGCCGCCTCCCCGGCAGCACAGTCACAAGACCCCAGGCCTGAGACCCACAACAAGCTAACCCTGCTCTGTCCCCAGGAATTAGCCCCCGGGTGCCTACAGCTCCTGGGGAACAGGTCACTGGCAGAGCCTTGTTTTCAGAGGACTGGGCCCCTTTCCTCTGGTCTCCACGTGGAGCAGAGCAGGGAATTCTGGAATCACTGACTAGCTTCTCTCGGGTGGGGAGGGGGAGCCAACTTCTCATTATACCCCAGTCACGCTCCCAGATCCATAAAAAACTGCAATTACAGCCCTGAGCCCATGCTGAAGGCTCACCGCTGGAGGATGGGAGCTCTGCAGCGGATGGGTTAAGAGCCCGCTGGCTGCCAGAGTCCTCCCCACAGCCCAGTGTTTGCACCTTGCGACATGCTCCTGGGGGGGGGGGGGGGGACAGTACCAAAGGAGGCTGCAACGGGGCAGCCGTGCTGCCTGCACAAAGGCTGCCTTTGCAAGCCGACCAGCCTTGTCATATGCAAACAGCACTGGTAATAAATATGTATCAGACACCCTCCCACCTGAGCGCTCAGGCAGAGGTGCAATTACAGGATGCAAGCAGTGACTGATAAAATCTCCCTAAAGCAACCCCCCCCACCAGTCCCTCCGGCACCTACACCCACACCCACACAACATTAGCCAATACGGGCCAGATTTGCAAATGATTCCACAAGGCAATTGTGCATTCATAATGTGTGTGTAATTGTGAGCTTATTATGCACATGCAAATCTGGCCACTTCCCATGGAAATGAAGGGAACTGACCAAGTGCAGGAGCACGTGTCCAATCTGCAAGTGTAACAGCCCTCATTGAGCATGCACTCTGGGTGCACAACTGCACACACATTTGCATGCTAAACTGTATGTTCAACTTGCTTGAAAATGTGGTACTAAGGCTTCTTCAAAGACCAGGAGGGAAAAGCAACCAAGCTGAGCCTCTAGCAGGAGCTCAGTCCTATTCTTGGAGCCATCACTGTGAACGCATGCTCCCACACGGAGTGGATGGGTCACCACACAGTGCTTTAAGGAAGGGTTCAAAGCCCAAGGGGGACAATCAACGAGCCACAGATCCTTCAGCCAAGTGGGCCCTGCCCCTGCTCCACGTAAAGCTTTGCCCACGAACAAAGCATGCTGCTGATGCGTCTGTTGCATAAAGTGCAAAGCAGGCGGGATATGTTCCTAAATGCTCAATTGGCCAGACATGCTGCCACATTTTGCATGCACTGCAAACACTGGGGCTGCCATCCTAACGTCCCGCGAGCTACACTAATCAAACTGCAATAAAATAGTCCTGTTGCGCCCAGAGTTACCCAATTTGCACGTGTAACCGAGAGGCAGTGGATACAAAGGCATCGTTTTTTACTAAAAGCAATGGGCCAAATTCCTCCGTGGCATAACTGCACTGAAGCTGTGGTGTTACGCTGTGCATGGACTTGGCCAAATGGTTGCATGTGTCATTTTCAAGCACGCTTGTTGAACCCACGTTTGAAGACATGGCTGTTGGTCCACTGTGTTCCCACGTCTCACCCCTTGCGACCCTCACACTCTGTGGGCTGGGTTGCCAGAGCGTTATACATTGGGGCCAACACTAGCGATTTTATTGCATGTCTCGTGTTTCCTGAAAGACACAGCTCCTGGAGTCAGGTGATTATATGAGACTCTCAGCTGTCATTATTTTTAAAAAGTCAGTTTTTACTCTTTTGCGGTTGCAGAGGAAAGCTTGATCACACCAACCCCAAAGGCCCAGAACCTTGGCGGCAAAGCCAAAGACCCTAACACTAAGTCAATTTGAAAGCTCATGATTGTTAAGGCAGTCTTGTGACCTTGAGGCCTGACTCATGATTTTGGAATAGCTGCAGCTGGCAATGCTGGTTACACGCATTTTATGCCCTTATAACTCTAGAGGCCTAAAGCTTCAATATGGATTGAGCTAGTTTCTCAACATGATGCTCTAAAAACAAGACGTTCTTAGGGCTCCTACAGGTAAAGGCCAAACCTTGGGGCTGGGCTGGGCGTGGGTCTAGCCCGACAGCGCCTGCAAATGACATGCAACATCTGCACCCTGTGCTTGGGTCCAGCCCTGGGCGAAGGAGTGTGGCCGGGGCTGCAAGAGGCTTCCAGCCAGGTCTGATCACCACAACTATTGATGCAAGCCTGGTCACACCAGGGCTGGGCAGGGCTGCCCAAACTCTGGATCTGAGCTTCCTGAAGCACTCGGAGAGTTCAGACTCTGCTGTGTCGGCCTTTTGTAAATAACAAGCCTGTAGTGGAGGCTCAAGACCAGGAGACAACTGGATTCTGTCCATGGAGTTACAACCTCAGCCTCTAGCTTCCTGGGCTGGGCTGGCTGTGGGAGTGCAGCAGTGAACCCGAGCCAGACCCGGGGCAGCAGACTCCTCCAGAGAGGATCAAACAGACACCAGGGAGATGAATCCTTAGAGCAGCGAACAAAAATGCCTGGTGGGCTAGAAGCAAGAGCATCGTGTGAGGTGGTTACAACACTAGATCAGGAGTCAGGTGTTCTGGATTCCAGTCCTCACCAATGTTCCCTCTAATTTTTCCCATCCATGTGCGGAATGAATTTTGTTATGTGCATCAATATGGAGGCGATGTGTGGTGGGGGTGGAGCTGAGGGGTTTGGGGTGTGGGAGGGACTCAGGGCTGGGGCAGAGGGTTGGGGTACGAGGGGGTGAGGGCTCCGGGTGGGGGTGCAGGCTCTGGGGTGCGGCCAGGGATGAGGGGTTTGGAGTGCAGGCTGCCCTGGGGCCATGGCAGGGAGAGAGGACTCCTCCAGCCCTCTCTCCTCGCAGCAGCACCTGGGCTGGGGGGGAAAGGTGCCTTTCCCCACCTGCAGCAACTCCGGGGCTGGGTCCTGGGCAGAGGCGCCTCTCCCCGCTGTGGCCCTTGATAGGCTGATGTGCGGCCTTAGGTCCTCACTCTGCCAAGAGACTCACAATGTGACCTTGGGCAAGTCACTGCCCTGCTCCGTGCCTCAGTTTCCCCATCTGTAAAATGACAACAGGCCAAGTTCAGCGGTGGTGTAACTCACTGGCTGCAGTGACATTACACCAGCGTGTATGTGTCCCAGTAAGACCTCCCCATGGCATGGTTTGTCAAGCGCTCCGAGATCTTCAGCACACGGGAAGCACCGAGCACTATGACCATGTGTCAGGGGGAGGGTCCGCTGCTTTGATTGTGCTGCGTGCTGCCCCGCTCACACAAGGAGAGTTACAAGAGACCAGGATGACATCACTCTCCCAGGCCCTCTGAAACCCCACTCTTTTCACCTCGCTCTCTGCCACCACCCTCCCCTTCGTGGCCATCTGCTCCTGCCCCAGGCCCCAGAATGGGTCAGTGCTTTGACAGCAGAACCCAACTTGCAGTGGTGTGGTTTGGTTTGACCTCCCTCCTTTGCCCGGTGCCCTCGCTGTCTGGGGCAGAGTGTAGGCTCTTCGGGGCAGGGACCGGGCGGGTTTCTGATCTCAGGAAAGAGCCACGCCACGTTAGGGTCAATGCAAGGAGGGGACGCCAGCGACGACAAGGGCGATTCGCTTGGTTTCTTCACTCACCTGTTCCCTTCCCCCAGAGCAGGGTCCCGGTGCACAGCGCTGTATAAACAGAGGCTTGGGCATTGCCCGCCAGGCTGCACTGTGAATTTGGGGCTCCGCGCCCCCCATGCCTGCGGCCATGTCAGCCCAGGGCTGGTTCAGATCCCAGGTAAGTGATGTGGGGGGAGCAGGAGAAAGTTTGACATTCTCTCTAGCAACCCCTTCCTCGGGGAAAGCCTATTGGGGGATGCAAATCCTCCATTCCTGCCCTGCAACCAATGATGCGCCTGCCTGGGCGGAGCCTCCCATTGACAGAATAAGCACCTGGGTGTTTACACTAGAGGCGGCTGATGGTGCAGCCCCCAGACTGCACACGAGGGGCGGAGAGCGTCTGGGGGAGCCAGTGCTGGCTGACAGCTCGGCAGAGCTGTAAGAGAAGGCACCAGAGAGAGAGACGGGGAGGGCGTGCAGACAGCATGCAGTGCAAGGCATTGGCTCCAGCTGGCGAGCAAGGCAGGCGCTAGGGAGCAGACACAGGGAGGCAACTGGCTGGGAAAGAATAGGAAGAAAGAGCCAGCATTCTTTTCACCCATTTATTTTGTATCGATCCCCTTCCCCCTGCCCTCAGGGGCTCGTGTGCTGCAGGCTGGTGGGACCCCTGCAGCGCTCCGGGGCAGTGCCAAGCCGGTGTGGAGCACAAGGAGAGACCGGCGTGGCGTTAATCTCACCCTCCATTGATTCAGGAGCCAGCCTGCCTTTTGCACAGCCCGCTTCCCAGCCGGCCGGCGGAGTGAAACATCTCAGGGAGGCAGGGCCGTTTTTTGTAAAGGTGCCAAGCCACTTCCATCAATTTCCTCGCCTGCTGCTTTGACGGACCGAGTTAAAAGGGGGCGGACGGGCTAAAGAACCTTCCCCCGTCCTAAGCAAGCAGAAGATTCTTCCTCCTCCTCTTCTTCCGGACAATGAAAATAACCCTGACTGGCATTTAGCATCTGGGAGCAATTCTTCAGCAGCAGCAGCAGCATGGTCCAGCAGAGGAACATGAGGAGCCGCGCAATCGAGTCCAAGAGGGAGGTGTGTCCCCAGCTAGCCACCAAAGACTCCCTGCTCCTCAAGGAAGCCGGCAGCAAGGGCGAGCCTGCCTGGTGCAAGACGCCGAGTGGCCACATCAAACGGCCCATGAATGCCTTCATGGTGTGGTCACAGAATGAGAGGCGGAAGATCATGGACCAGTGGCCGGACATGCACAATGCCGAGATCTCCAAGCGGCTGGGCAGGAGGTGGCAGCTCCTGCAGGACTCAGAGAAGATCCCCTTCGTCAAGGAGGCGGAGCGCCTGCGGCTCAAGCACATGGCTGACTACCCAGACTATAAGTACCGGCCCAGGAAAAAGGGCAAAATAGGGGCCAGCAAGTCCCGGCCAAGGCTCCCCGTGAAGATAAAACCATCCGTCCTCAGCCGGGTCACCTCCAGCAGAAGGCAGCCTTCCAAGCATGACTCCAGCTGCCAGATGGGAGAGTCCACCCTCAAGATGGAAGAGGACCTCTTAGAGGTGCGGCTGTCAGAGACGCCCTTTGAGGACTGCCCGAAGGCACCTGGCAAGGAGTTCTGGCACATGGTCCCCGCTGCGCGGGCGGCTGGGGAGAAAAGGAGCAAGAGGGATGACTCTGTTGAGTCCCGCCAGCTGAAGGACCCAGAACCCACCGCGCAGCCCTTCCCGGAGCAGGTGAGCTCCCCAGAGAGTGGGTCCCCCTCCCCAATGTCAACTGCATCCCCGCCTTCCTCCTTCTCCTCCTCTGACGAAGAGCTGGAGGAAGAGCTCTTGGGTGTCCTGCCCGGGAAAGCCCAGCCGAGCGCAGCCTGCGGAGCCCTGGACTGGTCAGTCTTCGACAAAGACCTCGACCTTTTCCCCTTGGGAGTCACCTCTCACTTTGAGTTCCCAGACTATTGCACTCCGGAGGTGACAGAGATGATTGCTGGGGACTGGCTGATGTCCAGCATCTCGGACTTGGTCTTTACGTACTGAGTCCCGCGTTCGGCAGGTAACTCTTTTCCACAATCAGGTTGTATCAAAAAACAGGAAGAAAAACCAGCTGTTTACATGCAGGAATCAGGTATTTTGCCTTGAACACATTCAAAGGCAGACACTCCCGATCACCCCATCCCCCGCTGCACACACCCACTTCTCCCAGCGCTAGCTCAGTCATCCTGCTCCGGTCCAGAGCCACGGGGGCTGCAGCTCTGTGGCTGGGCTGGGCCATCACCTTTCATTCCTGAAGCCTTGGGGAGTACGGGCTTGACACAGCCTTTATTTTGCCATGAAATTTGACTGTCTAATCAGGTTTTCATTGTGAACCTCTCTTCTCCCGTCTCCCCTTCCCCCACCCCTGCTTCCAGCTGCTGCTCAGCTCTGCCGCCATCCATCCCTCTACTGCTGAGAGACACTCCCCCCACTCCATCTCGCTTCTACCCCAGATTTTTCCCTCCTGCCCTCTCTTGCTAGCAGAGGCCACCTCCCCCCCAAATGAATTTTCATCCACCATTCCTCCTTCCCCACTCCTTTGCATGTCTGGGAATCACCAGTTTCCTTTGCTTTTATTTCAGTGCGTTGTCAAACCTGCCTTCGTTTTTCTCCTCTTCCTTCGAAGAGCCCTTGGGAAGAGAGCCCAGTCGGGTCCATCCATCCCCGGGTTTATAGGGCTGTCAGGGAGCATGTACAACTTGCGCTCTCCCACCCTTCCGATACCCAGTTTTATTGGGGCTCCGGCGGGACAAGCCTCTGTCCCTGCCTAGTTGCAACGGCGCGCGCACGCTCCCCGCAACTCACTTTGGGAAAGAGCAAAGTTGCACGCACGTGATTTGCACGTGGATCCGAGAGGCTGTTGTTCCTCTCTCCAGACGCTCGTGCAGGCAACTACGCCGTGTGGGGAGCCCGTTCCGAGAAAGGACCCTGCTCCCTGTTAATACGAGAGGTGAGCCAAAGGTGGGGAAAGTGGGCACACGTTGCTTCCTTCTGCACCACACCCTGATTTTAGCACTGAGCCCTGGCATTGCTGGCGATTTGCCCACACCAGCCCCGCGCTGCTCAAGGCTCATTCTGGCTGGTCTTGGCCAGAGGTGCCGGTCTCGCCCATGCCCCGTTCTGATGACTTGCCAAGGGTGAGGCGGCTTTGCGGGCAGTGTGCCGATCCAGGGCTTGCTGGGGAGGGGGAGCCACAGGGAAATCTGCCTTAAGCGACCACCCAAAAGGGACCAACAACAACAAAGCCAGATGCCTGGCTGAGCCAGGTCTGTGACTGAAGGTCGAATAAAACTGTCCTGCTTGGGGATGCTTCCCAATTCACAGTGTCTGCACCCTTTTGTGGAGCTGGGCCTTAGGGCAGGTTTCCCTGCAGACAAGTGACCTGGGGCTTCTGGCAGGGAATGCCCTGGTTGAAGGGCTCTTTGGCTCAGGTTTTCCTTGCCTTTGCTAATGTCTCCTTCCTGCGGTAAAACCGCCTCCTCCTGCTGCTGCCTGGAAACATATGGCTGCAATGGCAGGCTCGGATTTAAAGGCACGGTACAATGCTGCAGAAGGATGGGACCTTTCTGCCCAGGTATGAATGTGCTTTGTTCGGTGGCCCTAGAAAGGGCGCGAGCTGCTCCCTGGCCACAGCCTGAGACTGGGGGGTGGTGCTGGAGGAAGCAGTTTCCCAAGCAAGATGAAATCCTAGCTGTCTGGAAAGAGTGAGGGGACGGGGCGGGGCAGGTCTGAGATTGCACTGTCCTGTTGGTGGCTTGGGATGGGATTTAGCCCTGAAGAAACCTCACAGCTATCCATCCTCGGGAACTCTTGCTTTATACAGCTTCTGAGGTCTCCTCTGCCCTGGATCCCCCACCCCCACCCCAGTGAGGCAGCCCCTCGAACATCTCTCAGGAAGAGGAGCACCCTGAACGCAACCGTGCTGGGGTGCTGTATTACTGCAGAAGTCGCGGCAGGGCTTGTCCCCTTGTTTCTCAGCAGCTTTGCCTCACCTGTCCTGGGCTCCGAGGGCTGTTTCTTAGGGGGCTGCTTGACTCTAGGTCAGAATTCCCCAGTTCCCACAGCTGGGAGGATTTCCATTCAGACTCGGCCGAAGCTCAGAGTCTGGAGTTCCTCGGGTATGAATGGGATCTCCTTCACTAGAAAACTGTCTAGCCGTATGAAACAACACGACTCAAAAAGTCCCGGCTCTGAACGCCGGCATGATCTTCAGAGATGCTGCGTACCTACCACCTCCGTTGGGAGCTATGGGTGAGCGGTGCCTCTGAAACTCAGGTCCTGTGCAGGGCCTCATGTAGAGCACTGTTGGCTTTTCAGTCAAACTGTAATCTAAGTGGCTTTGGTTTAAATGGCCCAGATGTTAGACTTTGAACGGGGACAAGTGGGCGTGTTCAGAAAGTCCTTTCCCAAGGACATTCCAACCCCCTAGTCCCCAGCTGATCAGCTGAGCTCTCGGGATACATTTGAGAAATATTATAGATATGTGTGTGTGTATATATGGATTCAAATTTATAAACTAGGTTTAAAGAGCACTGAGATCATCATGCAAATATGCAAAAAGCAAGGGATCCTTAATGAGCAGAACAAATGTTTCCTATATCAGCCTCACCTTTCCTTCTCCCGCACCAAGGCTTGCAAGCCATTAAAATACAATGTAGTGAACAGACCTTAGCAAACCAAATAAACCCATGGAAAGCCACATGAATTACAGATGCTCCCCGAGATTCCCTGCTCAAGGCAGCCCATTCACCTGCAGTGACACGAGGCGGGGACACTACAGCCGATCTGCGCCACTCAGCCTCTAATGCAGAGCTCTTCCCCTGCAGCTTCCTTCCCCCCCAGGTGGAGGCCAGACAGGCCCATTGTAATGAAAACCCCACCCCCCTTCCCTTCCCAGCAGGGCACCTGGCAGGTCAATGGATCCCAAAGGGTTTCATACCCACGCAGAGGGGGGCCTACCTTTAAAGAACCTGGGGGAACTGGCCGTACCATCACTTCTGATCCTCAGGAATCCAGCCGCTGAAGTGCCCTCTGCACATGCTGGCTGCAGGAGGGTCTGTCTCCTCCAGCGCTTTCCAGGACACCCAGAGCCCTTTAGGATCTAGGCGCCTTCTTGGAATTTATCTCTTTTCTTGTGCTGCATCCAAGCAAGGCATGAGATAACCTTGGTGGTGACTCAGCTCTGCCCAGGAGTGGCAGCCCCCGGGTCCACCCTGCTGCCTGCAGGGACCTATGCTGGGCTGAGTCAGAGGTGGTCGGTCTTTACCCAGTGCTGTAAATGGACCTTTATGGGGCTGGTTCTGCCAGCCTGCTTCCAGATGTCACCAGAATCCTCAGCCTGGCTGCCCTGGCGTCAGCCCTCCCAAGGCAAGGAAAGCAAGTCAGCAACTTGAGAAAGTAACATATCCCCTGAACACAGCCAGTGCTGCGGCTGGCCCTGTCCCAGGGAAGCCCTGGTCTTCAGTGGGAACAGGTTTGGACTTGGCTGTTTGGAAGGAGGAAATGTTGGCTGATATTCACAGCGATTGGGTGTTTTCAGCTCCCAACGCATTCTTGTGGCAGGGATTGCAGGATTGCCAGTACAGTGCTCCCAGGGAGGGACTTCCTGCAACCCATGAAAGTGGACTGCTTTTTTTGGAGCAGGTGGGATGCAGGTTCTGGGTGTTTCACTCCCCAGAGCATGGCCCACGGACTCTCTCTTCTTAGCTTGACACTTCCCATGCACCAGTCCCTAGAACGATGGCAGTGGCCCGGAGGGTAACTTTTAAAATGAGCATTGACTGTTCAGGAGTACGCCCTCAAACTCCAGGCTCTGCTGTGAACTGTCCTTGCTGCCAGCACCACCACTGCCCATGACTGGTGCTGCCCCCTGAGACCCCCATCCTGCAAGCTTTCCATACAGACAGGTCCCCATATCTGTCCAGAGCCCCACTGCATGGGGGTTTTCCCTTGCAGAGCAGCTTGCAGGGTTGGGGTCTTGGCATTCAGGTGCATGCAGTGACTGTCACCAGCAGGCCCTTCTGTTGCAGTCATGGGGCCGCACCTGGCCTGACGGGTTTGAGTCACAGATCCAAAGGCAGGTGACACCCGGAGAGCAGCAGCACGCTCTGAGAGAAGTGTGGCCAGAAGGGCTGTATATGGAGGGGCCCTGGCGGTGTGCTGGGCCCCCCCGTTTCAAAGTAAGGGGTATTTGCAGGAATAGGGGTAGCTGCGAGCAGGTGACACCAGCTGGAGGCAGAACAGTTTGTAGGGCAGTCAGCGGGCGTGGTGCAACCAGCGAACACACAGCATCCGCCTCGCAGCCAGCCCATGGATCTCATGCTTTCCTGTACCCCCCAGGGAAATGGTCCGTGCCAGTGGGCTCAGAGCGCAGGGAGAGCAGAACCGGCAGGTGTACCGGGGCTGATGGGCTGTGTCTGTCGAAGACATTCCAGCCAGTAACAGGAGCCAGGGTTAGGAGCAGCACTCCAGGGGGCAGTAACAGAGACTCAACGAGTGCCACCCTAGGGTGCATGGGCTGAGGTGGCTTGGCTGGGCATGTGGGTGCTGGAGAGAGTGTGTGATACACGTCCCGCCTCACCAAGAGCATCTTCTGCTCTTTGCCGGCCCAGCTGCCCAGAACGCCTGTCAGGAAGGGGAGAGGAGAATGGACAGGGCGTGGGGGCTGCATCCTCACCCCTCTCACTTGTAGGAAGAGGTGGGTTTCATTGGCCAGCTGTTTTTCCCCTCCCCCACCCCGCAGCTCCAAGGCATGGGAGGAAGCCACTCTGCTGGGTCCCTGCGCATGCCCTCTTTGGGACTGCAGACCCCTCCCCCTACTCTGTGTGTGTGGCGGGAGGGGGCTCAGGTAGAGGGAACTCCAGTCTGGAAGGATTACTGCAAAACACAGAGCAGAACCTGTCCTGGGCCAGGCTCTCCTCTTCCTCTCAGGGGCTGCCCCCAGAGCTGCAGGCCAAAACGTGTCCTGTCCACCCCTGCATCTGTATCTGATAGAGTGGGTTCCCTCTGCCCCTTGGGGCAGACAGGAGACTGGGGGGAATGCTGGGCTCTCCCTGGCCTGGCCTGAGAGATCCCGCAGGGAAAAGCAGGCTCTGGTTCCAGTTAGTTTACAAACCATCAGGCTAAACCCTCCTCAGGAGCAGGCCCCAGGTAGGATCCTCTCTACAGGGACCTGATCACAGCTGCAGAGCCAGGGCCTGGAAGGAGTAAGCGGGATGGTGGCGAGAGGGAAATGCTACTCTTCAGCCTCCTTCCTCCTGACTTTAAGCACAAAGAGCATTTGCTTCCTCTCCGCTCCCACTTCCTGTAGGCTTTTCTTGTTTTCCTTTGTCAGAGGAGAAAGAGTTGTGAACCATGGTGAACTGCTGTGACATGTGGTTTTAGTGCTTTAGAGACGCCCCCGCGTTTTGACTTCTCTCTCATTCTATCGCTTGGCTAGTTTCTGCTGTGACTATCCTTTCCCCGCGTCCCTGCTGCCTGTAATTTGCTGCCGTGCGTGCGCGCGTGTGTGTGACACATTCGAGTCATCGATATAGATAAATAAAAACTTGTCTCAGGAACAAACTCCACGGATTGTGGCCAGCAGGGCTCTGGGGATGCGACCCCCATCCCTTTTCCCAAACCTCCTCCCAACGCTTTACAGTTGTCAGCAGGTGTTGATGGAGAAAAACTCCAGCCTGCAAATGGTGCTACAAGCGCTCTGGGTTTTCTTTTGTATTGTTGTGTTAGTGACAAGGTTCCTGTATCTGTTGTCTTGGAGAAATAGGCTTTTAGATGAGGGGAAGTAACGGCACTTGGTACATCCGAACAGTGTGTGTGAAATGTCCCGGACAGGTTATGTGAAAGCTCGGCTAATGGTTATACTGATTGTTGTAACTATGGAATAAAGTGTATTCTTGGTCTGCCTCAGGTGCTCTTCTCGCTCAGTTTGTGCCTCTGTTTCTGACTCAGCTCACCTACATTGGCAGCCCGACACTAGTGTTACACCACTGGTTACAACGGAGTTACTCCTGATTTACACTGCTGTGAGAGCAGAATCAGTGCCCCCTCTCTTTGCACAAGAACCCCTAGGTTGGAATAGCATGCTTCTTCCTCTGATCCAGCCAGCTGAACCCCAGTTTACCAGTCCCACGGACACCACAAAATCACCAAATCCTGCAAGCCATGTGCTTACGAGTCCGAACAGCATCATCCATTCATACAGAGCCATCACCTCCAGGGGCTTTACAAACAGGACACACACACACGTAGGGCAGGGAGCAAAGAAGAAAACTATCCATCTGAAAGCGCAATGGAGAATTGTAAGGAAGCAGCATGTAATGGCCTAACTTGGACTTTGGCTGGGATACTGTAACGCAGTGGTGTACACCCAAGTTTCGCTAAGTTACTTGCTTACAAAATCAGGCATAAAAACACAAAAGGGTCACAGCACATTATTACTGAAAAATTGCTGACGTTCTCACGTTTACTGTAGGAGTATAAGATAAATCAATTGGAATATACATACTGTACTTACCTTTCAGTGAATAATATATAGAGCTGTATAAACAACGTCACTGTCCGAAATTTTAGTGTGTACTGACTTCACTAGGGCTTTTCCTGTAGCCTGTTGTAAAACTAGGCAAACCTCTAGATGAGTTGATGTACCCCCTGGAAGACCTCTGTGTACCCCAAGGGGTCCGTGTATCCTGGCTGAAAACCACTGTTGTAACACACTCAGAAGCCTGGTGGCGGGAGTGAAAGACCAGCCCTTTTTATTAAACACATGAGCACTGAGCTCAGTCTCAGCATGCCCTGGTGCTGGGAAACTTCTAGTTCATGCTAGGCATGCTCCGAGACGTCATCACAGCTTCGAGCATAGCTAATAGTATGGAGGTGACTCACTACCCATTCTAAGAGACACTAGGGTTAAATGCAGGGCCCAATGACTCCTGCTACTACTGACTGGAGGGAAAAGCACCAGCTAGCGAACTGTCACCAACTGCAGTGGCTAGATTTTCCTCGGCGACCTCCCATCCAAACACCCGCCAAGCCCAACTCTGCTCAGCACAAGGCACCACCTGCCTACTGCCACTGCCGCCGGAAAGGGCGACTCTCACGGTAGTTCCACTGCACAGATCCTTCCAGTGTAGAAGGGGCAAATCCCCAGCCTCTGAGTGCAGCAATGCCCTAGAAGCCGGAGCCGCACCCTCCACAGACACACCCGGGAATCTGGGAGAACAGAAATCCTCTCCCTCCAAAAATACATTACAAACCTCGCAGAAATGTTTTCGTGAATTTCATTGGATTCTGGGTCAAAATTCCCTTTTTGTGGAAAATTTCCTCCCCACTCTCCATACCGACCATCTCCAGTCCCCATTCATTCCCTCCCTGGAGCTGTTCACAGTAGTTCAGTAGAGTTACATGCTCTGTTCCTGTCTTATCCCTGAATGTCTCCATGTACAGCTGTAATATGCCCCTGCTTACAAGATCTACACACCAGAGCAAAAGAGCCACATTCCCAGCCTCCGCCTCTGCTTGTAGCATGGTCCCCTAACTAGGGTCAATAATACTTTGTGCTTACATAGCATTTTCATCCCGGCATCTCAAAGCACTTTCCAAAGGCAGGTAGGAATTAGTATCCACCCTCTTACAGGTAGGGAAAGTGAGGTTCCCCTTCACATGCATACGGTGCATTTCATCCAACAGTATTTCATACCACTATACGCAACATCACAGAAATGCAGCCACCTCTGGGGTATAAGGCAGCAGACAGACAGGGAGCTGGCATTCAGCCAGGGTTGGGGGAGTTCTGCTCAAGGAAACCATTGGAACAGTGCCGGGAATTCTGTCATGCCCACACAGAGCAGATGAGACCTTGGTTTTCAAAGCCTCTGATGAGGCACCTCTCTCTGTGCCACAGGAAATTGCATGGACACAGGCCTGTGCTTGCAGCAGTTCAGGTGTTTCCGACCTGAGGCTCAGGTCACTAGGCCCCCCCCCCCGCGACCTGCTCCCTCTTTCTGTGTGATTCATCAACACACAAAGGTGTATGGAAACCTCACAGGCAAGGTGACGCAGCCTTTGCATTGCACCCACCACCAGCCTCCGCCCTACGGGGCAGAGGGTGTGTTACAAGTGTCCCAAAGGAGCCAGACTGTACAGGGACCCAGCTGCCTTGAGTCTCCTCTTCTCCTTTCTGGCACCATCCCCCAGACCTGCCTGAGCATCAGAGCAGCCCAGGGCAGGGTCCCCCCACGCTTCTGTGACAGCAACCGACAGGAAACGAGGCTGCTTCTGTGTAGGTCACGGAGACATCTGCTGGCCAGCAGGGGTAGCAGCTACTGACAGGACGGTACCTTGGGGGACGATAACTATCCTCCACCCAAGGAAAGGGGGGAGTGAAGAGGAAACTAAGGCCCTTTATGTCCCAGAGGCTCTGACGGCAACTCCGCCCAACAGATTCACTTAAAACAACCCCCCGGCCCCAAAGTCCCTCCACTCTTAACTGTGCCAGAACTCCGGGACATGCCCCGTTTTTAATATAGTGAAAAAGCTCATTCACGCCCTGAGACAATGCCTGGGATTTGCTTCTCCCATTAAAATAGCAAATTACGCATTCGTTGTTTGCTTTGCGGGGAAGGCCGGGAGCTGAGAGAAGAATAAAGTGTTGGGTTACCTTTAAAGACGTGTGCAGCCTGTGCTGTGTCCTCTGTGTGCTGTGTATGCCCGCACACACATGGAAAAGGGGAGAGGGGCACTGAGCGGCCGGCAAGACTGTGTGCGTGGCAAACAGGATCTCAGTCACCAGGTCTGGCTCAAAGCTGAAATGAATACAGATGATTTTATCAAATCAGTCCCTTGAATAAAGCATGGTGTCCTGCCAAAGTGTCCTTTGGACTTCAGTGTCCCTGGGGTCTGGGAACAATATTGGCTGGTTAGCAGCCGCCAAAGAGCCAGCAGGGGGCACAACACCTTGGTTATTGTGGATACCACAAATATAAACTTTGTTTGGAAGCAAAAGAAAGAACTTAATCATGGAACGGGTAGATTTTAAAAACACACCAAACCCCAAACGTTTAGACTCTGCTGGACTTCCACTGTCCTGTTGTAACAATCTGAGGCCCAAAACTCACCCCCCTTTAAACATCCGTGTCAAACACCAGCCCAGCTGTCATCAGTGACCCTTGAGTACTAGACACCAGCCCAGCCCCCTTCACCTGTTACACAAGACAGGCTCCAGCACCCGAAGCTGTGGAGAGACGCCAAGGCTGGTAGCTGGGTTTGCCAGGGCAGCCAGGTGAAAGCAGGCTATGTAGTGCCAAGGGCAGTAAGTTAACCCTCAGCCTCCCAGTGGCAGGCCAGAGCACAAAGGGGCCTGAGGGACCCAGAAGACACGTCGGACATACCAGGCAGATGGGAGCGCAGTCCAGGGAAACAGGCAGCCCAGAGGCAGAGGGGCTGGAGCCTTTCCCTGGGTTGCCGACTGAAATCAGTCCCATGGCAGCAGGGACTGGAGGTCGCTGACATTGCCATCGAGTGTTCTCAGTCCGCCCCACAAAACCCACCCCTGTGGTTAGTGCTCACTGGCCCTGCGTGTGGGCAAGCCTCAGCAGAGAGGCCTGGCTGGCCTGGGTTGTGGGGAGGGTCCAGCTGGTCCTCGGTGCGTCTCGCTGCAGCATGCGGCCACGCTCCCAAAAAGCAGCTTCTGCCTGGGGCAAGCGCAGCACAGCGGCACGCACTGGAGTCGCGCCGGCTGGGTCCGCCAGGCACCACACACTGCACTCATGGGCCACGCTGGGGTGGAGGGCATGGGGTGGAGGGCTGCAGGACCAGGCCCGGCGGCTATTTGGAATGGGAACGCGGGACCTTCTCCAGCCATCGCTGCTCAGCAGCAGCGCTCTGCACACCCAGCCCTTGTCTGCCACTAGCTAGTGAACGTGTCCAGCGCCCCGTGTTACAGACGGGGAGGGTAAGAGACTTGCTCAGGGTCACACCGTTGGAGCTTGGACTCGCGCTTCGACCTCGTGGAGGCCACGGCTGAGATCCTGGCTAGGCTGAAATGTATGGCAAAGTTCCCATTTACTTGAGTGGGGCCAGGACTTCACCCCAAGCCACTAAGTATCACACTCCCCTGCCTTGGCTAGCTAGCAAATCAGCGTTGTTGTGCCCTCTGGGCTAAGCGCTTCACTCAGAGCTTCAACCGCTGTGATCCTTCGACGGGGGGCAACGTCTGACTTGACAGGTCAGGGTGTCCGCGGATCGGGGTGGGGGTCAGGGAGGCATTTGGAGCCCTACACTGTGTGTAGCCTGGCACACCTGGCTGTGGTACAGGTCCGGGACTGGGAATCACGAGACCTGGATGGGGGCAAGTCAGCTAACCCCCAGCAGTAAACTGCTCACGTTTAATGTCCCCAAAGAGCACTGAGACCCTTGGGGGGAAGACACCATAGGTTCTAATGGGGTTTATTTGCTCTCCTCCGAAGCATCAGCAGACCAGACCTGATGGCTTGAGCAGCTCCGGTAGGATCTCTTGCATGTTCGTCCTTCCAGAGGGGCTCAGGACACCCCTAAATCCATTATCGTTGGGGTGGCAAAGGCCTCCCAGGTCCACCTTCCAGAACCAACAGCCTATGAATGTCAACTTCAGCATCCAGCGAAAGTTGTCTCCATGGCAACAGGGCGGTGGCGCCGGCCTGTGACTCATGGTAAACGAGCCGTCCCCTGAGCCAACTGCCGAGAGGCTCCGGGAAGAATTGAAAAGCTCGCCCCGCCGCAGATAAAACCCATGTGGAAATAACAGAGCCATTCAAATCCCTTTAGAACTGCTCCGAAATTCATGGCCGGATTAGGCCGGGCAGCTGGTCTCTTGTCTGTATCCAGTATTAGAAAGTGATTACACCAGCTGGGGAATTACAGGATTGGGTGAACTGCAGGGCAGCTCACGCCTCTGAGCTGCGTCCCCTAATCCCACTGCAGTTACACAGTAAAATAAATCTGAGCACAACAATAACAACAATAACAACAACGGGCGACTCGAGACCCAAATACACCCCTCTGCCCCGGAAGCCTTGTCTCCAAGGCGCCCGAAGGAATTAACACCCAGCTCTCTTGTTTTCCTCTTGTCCTCTGCTCTCCAAGCAGCTGTTACCAAGGTGACAGCAGGACCAAACACGTAACCAGGGGGCTGAGGGTCCGTTCCTGGTTGGATCTAGGGATAGGTCCAAACCAAATCCCCTCTACGCTCTGAGGGAGCTTGGATCCAGATCAAACCCCCAGCCTCTGAATACCCCAAACCTTTATTTTTTTGGAGGGGGAAAGGGTAGATCCCAAATGTTGCATCCCGCCCCATGTTATAATAAGCCAACCCAAAGGTCTGTTTTTTTCTGTAGTCTCCCCAATCCAGTTATTTCCTCTTCCTTTTATATTTCTAGCCCCTCAGTTATTCTTTTCTCCCCATGTGCCTTGCATCTCCCCTGCAGGTCCTTTCCCATCATCAATTCCTTCTGGGAGAATGAGGAGAAACTGGTCTTTAGATACTTGGAATTAAATCAACCATCTCTCCAACTTCCACTCACCACGCCCTCCACAAAGCCCAGTTGAGCCCTGTGAGTTAGCCTCTCTATGACTCAATTTCAGGGAGCCGGGGAAGGTGCTACCAGCACCAGGTCAGGCCGAAATGCAGCCCAGGACAGCCAGCAAACCTGCGGCAAGCCCTGGTCATGTTAGAACATCGCTTCTAAGGGAGGTCTGGAGAGCTAGTGAGCTAGAACCCTGGGCTGCAGGCAGGACTCCTGGGTTCTAGTCTGAGCTCAGGAAGGGGAAGCGTAGCCTAGCAGTTGGGGTCGGGGGCTGTGTGTCAGGATGCCTGGGTTGGGTTCTATTCCCAGCTCTGCCCTTTGCAATGTGGTTCCTACAGAGAGGCCATGCATGGTCACTACCTGCCGGGTCGCCGGGCAAGCCCCAGGGGAAGACGATGGATTTTGAGGGAGCTGCCTTTGATTTGATGGCACAACAGGAAGCTGTGGACGTGCCCTCGAAGCGACAAGCTGTCAGTGAAACTCCACGGCTGAGGGAGATTCTCATCCCTGCCAGCCTGGCTGGGCTCTCTGGAGAGAACCATGGCCCTGTGCGGCCCAGCCGCGGGCTGCTGGATGCCCTGGAGGCTGGACCAGCCATCACGCCCAGAGGTCTGGACCTGGATTCTACTCTCAGAGGTCCTAGTCCTGGGTTTACACCAGTGTCTCCGAGACCTGAATCCTGCCCGGGGGCAGAGTCTGATGCTGCAGGCCTGCCCTGCCCAGGCACCGTGGAGACAGCGGCTCTCCGCTCTGCCCTTCTCATCTTGCCACCAACGCGGCTGCCCTGCCAGCCAAGATGGGCCCTTGCTGCACTGCCAGGCTGGGGTCACACCCTGCCTAGCGGCCCCCAGCACACCGCACTCCCCAGCGCTGCGACTGACGGCTCCTCCACATGCTCCCATCCCCTCAGACCCGCTGACACACACAGCCACGCATCCTCTCTCTTCCTCTGACTCAGACACTGCTCAGCTCCACGGCTGTGCGGAGCCAGCCTCTCACAAGCTTCAGCTGGCTGGGAAACGCCAGGCAGATGCTGGGCTAGCTGGCCACTGCAACAGGTAAACAGCCCTTCCTCCATCACCCCCTCCTCGCTGCCCTGCCTGCCCCGTGCAGCCCGGCTCCCTCCCCTTTCACACCCTCCAATTCAGCGGGTGCTGCTGAGCCCTTTGGAAAAGAAAAAGAACTCCAGCTCCCACCGGCCACCAAACCCTGGCCCGAGCCGGCGCCCTCTGCGTCCCAGCCAGCTACGGAGAGAGGAGACACCCGGTGCAGTTTGGATACCGTTGGAGCAAGATCTGTCGTCCCGCTACGGGTCTCGGTCCCGAGGGCGTCCCGCAGGCAAAGGGGCCATCCCCAGAGGCAGAGCCCCGAGGGGAAAGGATGCGCTAGGAGCTCAGCCTGCGGTAAGGGTAGCGGGTGCAGCTCCATGAACTGCCACAGGTTACTCCATGGGGGAGGCGGCTCGGCGTGGCTCAATGCCCCCAGCTCGGCCTCAGGGCCAAGCAGGGCACAAGGGGAACTTGATGTGCTAAAATCCTGGACATGTATGGAAGTGCAGGAAGGAAGTGGGGGGAGTGATCAGCGGGGACGGGGAGAATGAGATGCAGCGATGCAGACAGTGGTGTTTACTCGCCTGTGACTCACCCGCCAAGGAGCGGGGGAGATTTTCTGATGTCTGGTGCCAACAGGGCCCCCTCACAGAGCCCAGAGTTAGACACCTCTTGCCCGGACATGGGCCTTCTCGGTACAGGAGCAGGGAAGGCATGACAAATGCCCCAGTGCCAGTAACCGGGCCACAAACCCAGCATCAGGGTTTAGCCTGTGCGGGTAGGGATGGTTCTTCTGGCTGGAACCGGGGCAAGGGGTGTTATGCCCGGGCTGCTGCTCCTCAAGGATGGGAGGTGCCGTATCGGATGACCCTCTGCTAACCACCACGGCTGGCAGAGAGGCCCTGTGGGTGCAGGATCACCCTCCGCCATGCCAGGCCCCGCGGCATGTCTGTCTGACTGGGTGATGTGTCAGTGCTGAGGGCAAGGCCCCAGCCAGGCCTGGGCTCCCTGAAATTAACACAGACACTCAGCGCTTTCAGTGGGTGGGGGACCCGCCTCTCCGAGCAGCCCCTCGGCCCTGGGTGCGACTCCGGTGACTCCACCAGGGTTACTCCAGCGAGGAATTTGGCCCCTAAGTCCTTCTCAAACCCTTCCCCCTGGGATTGAGGGGTCCCCCTTCTCCCCTGCCCCTCGTCCCCCGCAGGGCCCAGCAGGGAGGCTCTGCCATTTCCACCCCCTCCCCACACACCAGCTCTGCTGTCAGCGCCCCAGCCCCAGCTGTGACTGCGGCCCACCGAGGCAGTTCCCATGGCAATGCCCAATCAGCCCCAGGCTGTGCTACTCAGCCCCACTGAAGGCGGACGCGGTGATTGGTGGGGACAGGCAGGACAGGGTGGGTGTGAGCGCTATAGGAAAAGTGTATGTGTGGGGAGCGGGGTGGGGGGGGATTGCTTCAGCATGAGGAGGCAGCGCTGAGTGGTCCCATCCCCTCCGCTGCCCCTCCTCCTCCTCCGCTCACATGATTGGGTGACTGGGGATACCCTGATCCTGCGGGAGTTCAGCTGGGGGCTCCTGGCAGGAAGGATGGAGCCAGTCTCTGTTCAGCGGCAGGGCTGGCCAGAGTTTGGGACCCAGAAAGGGTCCCGCGATTGGTGGGTGCACCAGAGGTGTCAATCTCAGCTTCCACGTGAGGCAGTGACTCTGGAACCGACCGCCAGGGAGCGCGGGCACGCAAAGCTCACGCTGCTCCCCCCCCCCCCCCGGATGCCCAAGGCTTGCAAAGCACCGGGGCTGCAGGTTCCCCCAACATCCTCGTGGGAGGAGACCCAACAATCATCTCATTGGCCCTTCCCAGGTCCTGCAAGCTGACTCTGCCCACAGGATGATGGGCTGCGGTCCTGGCCAAACCCTCCTTGATATCAATGGGGCAGGAACCTGACACTGAGCAGGGGAGCCGTGGGAGCAGGGCCCTGGCTCAGCAAGGGCTGGCCCTGCTCTGAAGGGCCCAGTCCAGCTCCTCATGGGCCGAGGATACTAGGCCTGACCCGCTGAGAATGCCCATGTCTCCTTGGTACCAGCAGGAGGCGCTCTCAGGAGGCTGAGATGGTGGTTCAGAGCCGTCACTCCTGTCTCCTCACTTCTGTCCCCATGCCCACCCCTCAGCTCCCCCTCCCCGCGTACTGTTATCCCATGCCCTGGCCATTAACCCCTCAGCCCGAGCTAACAAGATCCTCTCGGCCCCCAGTTTATCGGAGCCAGGTTTCAAACATCACGTCCTGACGAAGATGAAGCCGCTCCCTAGTGTCTCCAGTTGGGAGAGGGCTCTGGGAGCCCACCCCGCCATGGGAGGGAGGTGGCACCCAGCTTGGGGGTGTCCTGCCCCACAAGACGGGTGGGGAGCACGCTCAGAAAGAGCAGGGGGAACATTCTTGGCCACTGGGTGAGAGCAGGGGAACCGAAAACTGAGTCCGAGCTTTACAGACTGGCTCTGACTCTCCATATTCCCAGAGACCTTCCCTCCCTGTGGAACATGAATGAACCAAAGCACGCTGCCCAGCCCTCTGTGATGGGCACAAGGGTCATTACCCCCATTTCACATATGGGGAAACCGAGTCACACAGAGATTAAGTGACTGACCCAAGGCCACTTGGCTAGTTATCAGCACAGCTTGGAACTGAACCCAGAAATCCTGGGTTCTGTCTGTCTTCTAACCACTAGGGGACACCCTCTAGCTAGACACAGTGGACAGGCTCAGGGGTGGGCTGTGCTTACACTGTGGGAAAGGCACCAGTCAGCAGTGCACTCCTGGGTGCCCCCCAGTCACTCACCTCAGGAGTGGACTGTGCTCAGCAGAATGTGAATGTCTGGCTGCAGTCGTGTCCTGGCATCCGGCTGCGGGATGGGGCCTGCATGTGTCTTGTGGGTATCCCCGACGTGCCGTGCCCACGGGCACAGGGCTAGCTCCACTCCTGGAGGCGTTCACCTCCCTGAGCTCGGCATCAGCCGCAAAGGGACGTCCTGACAGGTGTTCTCAATCCCCTCCCCAGGCTCCATGCCTGCCCGCAGCCAGTCGTGCGGCTGCAGCCGGGGGCCCAATGTGGAGCGCGGGAAGTGGTATGGGGTCCGCTCCTACCTGCACCTCTTCTACGAGGACTGCACCGGTGCCAGTCTGGCTGATGACATGACCGAACCCCCAGTCTCCCGTGCCCACGGCGGATGGCCCTCCCTCGTGTGGAAGGTAAGAACCATGTCAGCATCATTAGCCCCTGCTGGGAGGTGCTCTGCTCCTGGACCCTGGGGTCAAGGGTCACTCACCCTATCTGGGTGTCACCTCTGGGACAGTCAAGCCCCATCCCAGGATTTCCCCCCGAAACTCTCAAGCCCACAGTAAGAGCCTGGGTTCCTTCTCCTCCTCCCCAGTTTGGATTGCCTGGCTTGTCCTGTCCAGGGACCCTCTCTGGCCCTCTGCCGTTAGAAGGCTAGAGACCCTTCCCCAGGGCCAGAGGAGGATGAGGCACAGCGTGCCGGAGATGCCGGGCGGTTCAGCCGTCAGGGATCACCCAGCTCTCTGGATCGCAGAGTCGTCCGGCTGAGGCACCGTGCAGGCAGGTATGGCACTGGCCTCCCCCTTGCAGCTCAGCCAACGTGCCCTAGCCTGCCCTTCCCCAGGACCTCTCCCCTCCGTGCTGGCAAGCAGCAACGCTGTCTAGCCCAGCCCTGGGCTTCTGCTGAACCCGCAGATTTCAAGGCCACTGTGATCAGCTAGTCTGACCTGTCCAGCACAGGCCCGGGGACTTCCCGAAATAATCCCTGTTTGAACAAGAGCCGATCGTGTAGAAACCATCCAATCTGGATCTAAAGCTGGCTGCTGAGGGAGAATCCCCACAGCCCTTGGTAAGTTGTTCCCATGCTGAGTTACAAGTGTGCACCTGTCTAGCTTCAATCAGGCAGTGAAGAGCTGACGTCTGAACACTGGTCACTAGGGACCTGCTAGGGACTCAGAGGAGAAGCCACCCCTAGCTGGAGGTGGGCCCATGCTGTCCCAATCCAAACTCCCCTTTTATCGGAGGGTCTCGACTCACTTCCCAGCACAAATATTAACTCAGCCTCGCAGCACTGGGAGGGAGGGATCCTTAGCCCCTTTTTATAGAGGAAGAAACTGAGGCACACACAGGCTGAGACCAGTCTGTCTCAGGCCAGAAGGGGGGTGCAACCCAGGAGTCTTGACTCCCTGACCCCAGTTCCTACCCCTTGAAAACGCTGTACATGCGAGCTAACCACCATGCTACGGACCCTAAGGTGCAATGTCTCGCTGCTTCCCAGCTAGTCAGAAAGAAGGAAGGAGCTCAGCACTCAGGAGGATCTCAAGCCAGGGCTTCCCCACCTGGTCATGTGATGATGCAGGGTCACCAGGTCAACTGTGCAGGTAGCCCTGAGATCAGCTGACACCTCCCCCAAATGAATCAGCCTGCAGCACTGGATGCAATTCAGCTGCTGTGCTGGCATGGTCCCGGCCCTCTCCTCCCCTCGCTCGAGTCCTCATTGTGCCCCTGCAGAATCAGAGACCCCCCATCCCCGGGCCTGCAATGAAAGCGGGGGCCCTGGGCACAGAATCAGCTCATCGGACAACATTTTCCATGTGGGGGCCAGAGAGAGGCTCTTTAATGAGTCTCGCTAAGTAGCTTCCCAAATGCCTAATCCAGGGGACCTACTGGCTGGGACTTTGAATCTAGAGTCCATGATTATTTATGGGCTTTAGCAGCTGGCCGTAGGCCTTGGGTTACTGCGGAGGGTTATCTGAGTTGGGGGATGGGCTCGGGGGTTATGGTGGGGGCATCTCCAGGGGGCTGGGGTTGTTCATTTGTCTTAGATGCGCCGGGTGCCAGGCACTGCAAGAGACAGACCCTGCCCCGAAGAGCAGATGGTCTAGAAACAAAGGGTGGGAGGGGAAACGGAGGCACAGAGAGAGGGAGGGAGTGCCCAAGGGTCAAGCCAGGACTAGAAACCCCGCTCTCGGGGGTGCCAGGCCAGTGCCCTAAACCATTCTGTCCCCATCCCCGGTGGTAGAGCCTTTCCTCTCATTAGTAGCACGCAGACTGAGCCCTTTGCATCCCGGCCCCCAGGTGAGTCTCTCAGCTGGAGTGCTGCTCTTGCTGATTGGAGCCGCAGCACTGGCCACAGGTTACCTGGTGCCCCCGAAGCTGGAGGGCATCGGAGAGGAAGAGTTTATGGTGCTTGACCTGCAGGCGATGGCGTATAACCATGCCCTGGAGACCTGCAGACTGGTGGGCACTGTCCTGTGCGCCGTGGCCGGGGCCCTGGGGGCTGCGGGCGTCCTGGCGTGCATGCTGGGCAGGGCTGCACGAGGGGGCGAGGAAGAGGAGGAGCAGCAGCTGTCGCCCATTCTGCGGGAGAGCCCCCTGAAGAAGCACAGCACCATCATCATGCCGCCGGCGGCAGCAGCAGGATCACCGGCCGTGCCCTTCGGCACTTCGCAGATACAAAACATACAGCCAAAGAGGGACACACGGCTCCCCCTTCTGCCCCCCTCCACCGCTGCACCCGCACCCTGAAGCGAAGAGTTCTTCTGTCTCCCCCCCGTGTTACTGCTACACCCCGATTAACAGCCCCACTGCCCCTGGCTCTAAGGAGCACCAATGTGTCACCATTCAGCATTAGCAGGAGGAAGGTGGGTGCAGCACCTGGACCCCTTCCCACTGCTTCATCTGCAGAACCTGGGGAACTGCAAGTGGCTAAAGCTGAGCCTTCCCCTGGGGAAGGGAGGAGTGTGGAGGGAGGCTCTGGCCTGGCCCCCCACGTGGGAAGATCTGAGGCTGGAGGTGCCACCTGGCTCGAGCCAGAACAGAAACGCCCCACCTGAGCTCAGGCTGCCTCAGCCTTTAAGCCAATAGGATCATCTCATGCCACATCATCTGGAGGCTGGACTACAAGAAGCAAGAAGGAAAGTGTGTTCTGAGGTAGAGGTGGAGTACGATTGGCCATCGCCTAATGGACAAAGTCCCAACTTTTCTGTGATCCACCTTCCTCTGCCCTGCTTCCTGGTCAGCTGTGACTGATGAAAGTGTCTGAGTACCAGTCCAGCAATGTCCTCCTTCCGTGCTGGTTCAATAAAGATACAAAGAAACTCAGGTTCATCATCAGTCATTTCCAGCATGACTTTGTCACAATCCCATGAGCCCTGGGTGTCACACGACAGCCCCCTTCACCTTCTAACCAGTCCCACAACTGAATTCAATTCTCTGCTTAATCAGATCACAAAATCATTTGACACAGCTTCTGCCCTTTAGACACTTTAAACAGGAGATATTGGCTAATCTGATCAATGGCTACAGAGGTCAAATGCCATTCAATTACTGTTTAGAATATAGTTTTAATGAAAGGCAGACACAGAATAAGGTTCTGTTAATTACTAGGGAGGAGAACGAAACATGCATAAGGTAGAAAAGCCCAAGGAAAACCCCACAACAATCCTGCAGGACTCCAGCACAATTCCAAGCAGGACGAGTTAGACATTGCTATTGACTTTGGTCACCTTCTTTTCTCAGATCTGGTGAGGCCACCCTGATGATGTCAGCAGTTTTGCACTGGTATAACTGGGAGTGGAATTTAGCACCCGTGACATGGGCCTTGATATTCCTATTACCTTCAATTACCTGAGGGTTGGGTTTTTGAGACAGGAGATTCCTCTAAATCAACCCACTTTCAGGAACAGTTTCAGTTTTGACAAAATGGTAAAAATGTTTCCTCAAAAAATTCTTGACCAGCTCCAACCAGGAGTTCAAAAAGCATGACTCAGGGCCCCCCAGGATGGTGTGAATGGCTGAAATCATGGGATTTTAAAAATAAAAAATGGGTTCTTTTTATATGCTTACTGGTTTGGGACCTTTAGGGGTCAGGTTTGCAAGCTTTTCTCTGAAACAGTGGGATAGAAATGTACTTTTTTTTCTTCAAGTGAAAGCTGAGTTTCATATAATCACATGACTCCAGGAGCTGGGAATTGAAAGAAAAGACCAAATATCTTGAGACTTACAATAAAATCACAAGACTTGGCAGCAAGTTTAATTCAAAATATTTGTTAGGAGACTCTATCCTGTCCTAGTGGAAATGGACAATGACTTGACCTCAATGATTCAGGCCTTCGCCACCTCACAGCTCAACTACCGCAAAGTAATATACCTGGGCATGAAGTATTTAGGAATGTCCAGCTAGTATTGATTTTGCAGGGCCATGGGGCAGTTCAGACCCGCATCCCATTCATCCAACTCTCCACCCTCATCGGGGACTTCCGAGTTCAGCCCCTGTCTACCATGGATAAGCTCAGACGCTGAGTTCAGTCCGAGTGACAAGAACAGACGCGTTCCAATGGCCCCATTCAGCACTTCCTGGATTAGGGCTGGCTTTTAGGATATTCCTGTGGAAGCTGCCGGTGCCCCAGTCAGAGAGAGCAGGGGAATCCATGGCCCGGGGCACGTGACACACACCAGGGGAGGGTGTGAGGAGGCAGGGAGCCCTGGAGGATTATGAGCACTCCCTGGTGAGGAGAGCCGGTGCTGGGCACAGCCGCCCAAGCCAGGTCTGACCCTGGAGGCGTTCATGGCCATTCTGGCCCCCTACCCCAGACTGCCAAGGCCCATGTGCCGCTCTTCCCCTGCATGTGCCCTGGCCTCCCCTGAGCTGAGGCAGGAATCCGGGCGGCCCCTTTTCCACACGTCACCGCCTGGTGGAGCTGTGTGCTCAGAGCTCAGGGCTGGAGGAATGGCACTGCCAGGGCTCACTGACAACAGGCTCCTGAGGACACAGAGCCTGGGAGCAGCTTTTCAGCGAGCAGCAGAGGTCACCTCTGCCCAATGCCCCGAGCCCTGGGCTCTGGGAGTGCCTCACGCCCGCCTGGCAGGGCCCATCGCCTGCCCGGCCCTCTCTACCATGCTGGAGCTGGGGCTGGCTCAGAGCAGACCCCAGGGAGCAGCAAATTCCTCGCCGCTCAGGCTTCCCTGGCTCCCGGACAAGGGAACTGACCTGGGAGAAACATCCTGTTTCTGCTCCTTATCCCTTGTTCCCTGACCTGTCCAGCTCAGGTCAGGCGCAGAATCGCTGGGACCCGACCTCCCAGGGCAATGGATTCAGTCCCGACTGCGGTGCTGCCCGACCTGGATCCCAAGGCAAAGCCCCCTCCACCTCCACCCGTCCCCTGCACTCCCCCTCTGATAGCGTCACTTTAATGTAGGCGGGTTTTATTCATTGCTAGTGCGTAAATATGGGGACGTGGGACAGCCCTTTGCCTCCTGGCCTGTTTGCCAGCCCTCGCAGCCCCTCCCCTCGATCCCCAGGTAAGTACTTTGTACCATGCTAATGACTTGCTTCCACACCCCTTTCCATCCACAAGGATCCCATGGAGTGGGTAGCCTTAATGATGCTTACAACCTGGCTGGTGCTCACTGAGTCTCCACAGAGCCTATAGGGAGGCTGCTTCCAGCAATCTGCACACATGGGGCCCAGTCGTCACTGGCGGCAGGACTGGGCCCCTGCATAGCATTTTTGCAAAACTCTGCATGCCACAGAGGCCATGTGATGCCCCATAAGATCTGGGTCAGGCTCTCCGGAGAGGGTTCGTGCAGCATACAATGAATTGTAGCTTCTGCAAACAGCTGTGGGAGATGCTAGAAAAGTGGGGAGAATGGGCCTGATGAGGGGGAAGGGGAAGGGAGCCTGCCCAGAGGTCAGGAGGGATGGCTAATCTCAGATTTCCTGCCTTCAGCTTCTTTCCCAGGAGCCTCGCCCCCAGGATCCAGACAGGGTTGGCAAGCCCCGGTGCGAGCGAGTCACAGGCCTAATCCCTTGGTGACTGAATGAGGGACGAAGCAAAAAAGTGAATGAAGAAGGAAGTGAGAGAGGGAGGGGAGTGAGGACGAGGGGAAGGTGACTTCCAGGGCATGGGAAAGGATGAATGAAGCAGCAAGTAACTGGAGGAGTGAGTGAAATAGGGAAGGAAAGAAGAAACAGAAGTAATGTGGGGGCGGGACGGAGACGGGGAGGAGAAATCCAGAGCAGGGGCCATCCCCAAGCAGGCTGGGGTTCCTCAGAGCTTCCCCTGGCATGTGCCTGTGTACAGGGGCCCCACAAAGCACAGATGGGACCCTGGGAGCATGGGTGAGGGAGGCAGGCAGCTCCTGGGAAGGGGCAGGAGGGGGAGGCAGCAGGGGTGACTGGCCATTCCCCTTCAGGGTCTGGCTCCCTTGGTGCAGACAGGATGTCCTGTGGCTCAGCGGGAGCTCAGTGCTGGGTCGGGGGGAGACCCGGAGAGCAGCCTGCAGAAGGAAGCTGAGCGTTTCCTCCTGCACAGGGAGCATTGGGTGGGGGGGAGGGAAGGGAACCAGCACTTATGGCCCCCAGGGCTGCACAGCAGGGGCACAGCCCTGACAGCGGCCCTTCCACAGGGCTTTCTGCCCCCCCCCCATCTGTTACCCAGGGAGGAGATGAAGAGGGCCCAATGCCGCTGCAGCTCAGATTCTGCACCAGCTCTCCCCAGGCTGCTTCCACAGCATGCACCAATGTGGTCACATCAACCCAGTCCTTCAGCTCCACTGCAGCCAGCTCCCGTGCCCCGTTCCCTCCCGCGACCCCCGTGGGAGAGTGGGGGATGCATGTCGCTCTGCGCTCCCAACTGCAGCCAGGGCGCCTTCATCATTGCAGATAGGCCAGTGGTGGCAGAGGCCAGGACTGGAGCAGACGTGAGATCCCCCCTGTGCAGTGATGCCTGCTGGGAGGAGATAGGGCTAATGCAGCTGTGAGAGACTTTGTAGCCAGTGCTCCTGCACCAGGCCCTGCAGTGCCGCCCGCTGGGAGAGGCTGGAAATACAGAAGGTGCAGCTCTGCCCTCCTCGCCGCTCCCCAAGGGGCATGAATTCCCAGCCATTCCCTGGAGCACACTTCTGGTTCTGCATCGCTACGCCACCCCGGCCGTGTGCACGCTGCTCCGGGAGACGCGCGCTACCTTGGGTGCCGGAGCTCGCCACGGGGCTTCTGGAGCGCGCAGGCACAGAGCCTGGCCCGAGATGAATGGGAAAGATAAAACCGAGAAGGCTGAGTCAGCCAGCAGCTCCCAGCAGCCTGGGTCATGGCAACAGCTGCGCGAGTGGAAGCTGGGCGTTTGCTCTGACGCTGACGTAGGCTTGACTGCGCCTCCTGCCACCAGAAGGAGAGCAGTTCTTTAACCCAGCCCCGTTCTGGGAGGGCTGCATTCAGGGTCGGCGGAGCCATTGCCTGGGCCTGGCCTGGGGAATAGAGGGAGGCCAGTGTGTCGTGGGGTTTGTAGGTTTATTTCATTTCCCCAGCGATGCAATACTTTGGCCACGTTGTTTATTCGAACTCCGGGCACAGAGACATACACATGGGACTGACGGGAAGCGCTGCGGATTCCAAGCACGCGAGGGGACTGCGTGCAGCGGCGACCTGCTTTGTGCACTGTTTGTGCCTGGTAATGGAAGCTGTGTGCAAACTGGCTTGAAAATCCGCCCTATTGTTTTGGGTAGGTAGAGAGCTTGGCAAGAGCCGAACCCCCACATCCAAACGGCCCACAGCTGTAGGGGAACTTGGATGCAGATTTGTATCCAAATTTGGTGGGGGGCCTCTTGTCTCTATAGTGGGCCAGACACAGGCCTGGGATCCAAGCCCCGAGCCCTGGGAAGTCTGAGCTCGCCCCCACTGCTAGTCCAAGGGGGTTAGTAAACGGGTCCAAGTGGGACAGAAGGTTGAGTTCCAGGCAATAGCTTCACCCCTTCTGCTACAGTCACTTTCCCGGCTGCGTCTGGCTCGCCAGGCGGGCCCTGGCTCCCTGTAGCGGACACACACTCAGTGACAGACCTGCCAAACTTTCGAAAGCTGAGCGCCCACAAGAGAGCGAAGCCAACCATACCCCCCTCTCCCACCACCCTGCCATGTGCTGTCAAAGGCTGACTCATCTGAATGCGAACACCCCAGTTTGTCCTGCATGCCCCCATCTCTGGCCGGGCTGCTGTGCAGGGAACAGATCTGACAGGCAGCAGAAAGCTATTTCTGGGTCACCCACGGCACGGGGTGGGGTCTTTTCTTTGGAGAGATGCTGTTCCCCTCCTCCAGCCCCAGAGGTGCTGTCCCTCATGTGATTCCATGGCCTGGTCCCTGCTCACAGTCTCTCCAGCGTTACAGACAGGCCCTGGCCTAGCTTGGCTGCAGCGCTGAGGAAGGGAGCTCTGAGTGCTGGGATGGGAGAGGGGCTCATCCCCCCGGCAGGCTTCCCCATTTCTGGAAAATAGGGTCTTTGGGAATCAGGCAGGCACCTCAGGGGAGGAGGGGAACGGCTCTGGTGAACGGAGCCAAGAACCTGTGTGACGACGCATGGCGAAAGCCAGTGGACCGAAGGGGGGCCGTGGCTCAGCAATGTTGACCTGATGCAGCCCAGCTCCAGACTCCACTGTTGTCTCCCATGTGCACATATGGGCTGTGGCTTCACACGTGTGACTGAAGGATGGACGCGCCATGCTCTGTAATGCACGCCCCAAAGCGCACAGGGTCAGTGTCGGCCGTGGGCACGGCAGAGGATTAGCGCGTGTGCACACCCCCAGTCCCAGGCAGGAGCTGCATGTCCCCAGGAGACAGCGAGCAGCCTGCAGGGCTGACGGGGAGCCCTTAGTCAAGGACACCTGCAAAAATGCGCCAACTTTCATCACCTGGCGTCTCCCCTGGCCCCTCCGGACTTCCTGCCTTGCGCTCCCGCTACTGGCCGGAGCTGTGCACTGCATTTGCTGCTTCCCGCTCTGTTCAGCGGGCTGGGGTTACCATCCCCTCTCCCTTTCCTGGGCCTGAGCCACTCGTTCCTGACTCCTCAACAGCCCAGGCTGGAACAGGGTTACTGCCCGCGCATCAGCCGGTTTCCTGCCCCTGGCCCCAGTGCAGCACACTGCAAATCACTGCACAGCTCAGCGTCTGTCTGTGACGCTGCATCATCCCCACGCCCCTCCGAGCCGCACACGGAGGGCAGTGGGGGGCCGCCGGCACCGTGAGGGGCCCAGCTTCCTGGTGCCAGAAGGATCCCGTCCCACCGGCAGCTCGGCAGGGGACCAGGCACTCTTGGAGCGCAGCCAGGGGCATTGCGTAACCCCAGACGAACTCGCATGGCGTAATCACATGGGCAGTTTCGCAATGCCTCCGGTGTGCCACAGGGCAGAGGTGTCAAGCCCGGTGGAGTCAGGCCCCAGCCCTGTCGAGGCTGGTCACCAGACAGCTGGGCGAGCTGGTGCCGGGGTACCACTCTCCATCCCTGTAATGCCTGGGCACAGTAAGAATCCCCTCCCAGGTCCTGCGCACGACTATGCCTGCCTGATTCAGAGCCGTCACCCCAGCGGCTACGGCACCAGCCCCTGCACGCCACGAGGCGGGTCCGATTCCAGCCCCCTCTCACCAGGGCCGAGGCTTTGGGCATTGCACCCCGATGGTGCCC